CTCCTCGGCCGGGACCCCTACGACTTCGAGGAGCTGGTGGTGTGCGACCCCTTGCACCGGCGCCACCTCCTGCTGCCCCGAATCCCTGCACTCGACGAGTGGCTTCCTTCGGCCACGACCGGCGGGATAGGATGGCAGATCTTCCTCCTCGGCGGCGGCGACGACGACGACGAGGAGGCTGCGGAAGAGACTTCTTTCAGAGTGATATGGAGGGCAGAGCGTGAAGATGATGGTAATCAGGTCGCCTTCGTCTTCTCTTCCAGCACGGGACAATGGCGAGCTGCTCCGCCGTTGTCAGGGTTGGCCTCCTTCTCCTGGCGCCAATATGTGCATGGCTGCTTGTACGGGATGACAGATTGCCGGGAGAAGCTACGTGTGCTCGACACCCGGACGATGGAGTTCTCACTCCTCGACCTCCCGCTGGAAGCCAGAGGTTATGCTTATGTGTATGTAGACGTTGTGGAGGCAGGGGAGGGCATCACTGGGTTGTTTGTGCGACCAAGGGGGACACCTGAAATCAGATATTTCACTAGGCGAAACAGTGGTCTGAGTTCCAGCCAGTGGCAGTTGGAGAAGATAGTCTCACTGGGTTCTTCTCAATGGCAGTGGGCGGGTTCACCAAGGCCGAACTTGTTCCTGCGTCACTGCAGAAGCCCATCGCTTGATGGTGGCCTTTTCTCACTGGATATCAAGACATTACAGCTTGAGAGGGTGCTTGGATCAGAGTCTAGCATGCTTTACCCGTGGCCATGTACCAACTTTCCACCATTTCTGTCGACACCAACAGTATCAAGTGGTAACCTTTCTGTTGCATCCTAGTTATTTCATTCACTTAGTTATCACACATCTTGTCTTTTGCTTTATACAATAGTTGATTATTGTGATTGGTGAATCTTGTTTACACGGTTTATTAGTGTCACATTCTCTGTGTTGTGGCTAAGCTGAGGAACGTAACTGTGTTGTGTTGTTACTTCAGTTAGTTATCACACATCTTGTCTTTTGCTTGATACAGTAGTTCATTTATGAGGTCGGTGAATCTTGTTTACATGGTTTATTAGTTGCCACATTCTCTGTGTTGTGGCTAAGCTGGTCAAGCTCAGGAACATAACTGTGGTTTATTCAAGTCTGTTTTAATTGCCACTTTTAAGTTGATTAGAGAAGTAAAAGAAAGGTGTGTGCACAGCATGAGTAGCATTTTGGAAGCACCTTGAACCTTGAAATCGTAAGAAACATGAGGTCAGGACAATGATCCTTGTTTATATGGCCAAACTAACGCAGAAGGCATACAAGCTCAAAGGACACTGCTACCAACAGTTCACCTTTGGTTTGTAACTTTGTATCACCTTCTTCCAGTCAAGCTGGAGTTATCTTGCTCACATTTCTTTTCATAAATATAAGCAGGGAGGCAAGTCTGATTTGGTAAAGTTTTAATTTCTGTAGACCATTTTGTTTATTGCTCTCTCAAGTTCTCTTATAATTCATCTCTTTAGTTTACATGTCTTGTCTGGCTATGTATTCCAACTTGTATTGCAAATGGCAATGGGAAGCACCATGAAGCGAGTGTTTTCTGTTATATATCTCAAACTCCATCATAGTCAATACTATACCTATGGGACTATGCCTAGAAGTAGTCCCGAAGGTTGATTCGCTAATCTCCATGTATTGCATGCGGTTTCTGTAAGTCCTAGTACTTTATGCTTCTTCCTGTGCCTTTTGTTTCATAAGCAATTTACGAAGTATTTTATTGCTTAATGGTAAGACCTGTGGATTGTTTTACTCTCAACTCCTGAATATCTAAAATCTAAGTACACATATGTTGGGCAGATACTCAGGAAGGTGATGAGAAGGAGATGCCGGAACAAGGTGCTGAGATGCTGCAAGATGACGAGCCCACAGGTAGCCTTCACGACGAGCGCACTGCTGATGACGTGAATGCTGGAGGCCAGGTCGGTGTATCAAGGACTTGAAATGGCGCTGATTGAGGTTGTTGCTGCGACTGGGCAGTTGACCACAGGTTGATCATCAATACGGTACTGGTAACTTGTGGCTCTGTCTGTCTTTAATATGGTTATCTAACATCAACATGGAGTTTATCTTGTGTGCCTTGATCTGGCAATGATCGGTTCGTCCGTCAAATGAGGTAGCAAGAGTATTAGCTTCATTTGTATTTTACTAGTTTAATTATGACTATGTGGTTGTGATCGTGCTGTATGCCTGCCCCATGTGGCATGAATGGAACCAGTCAGGTACTATGACTATGAAATTAAGGAGGGTAATGATCTACTCCATTGAGCAGTGGCAAAAGTGAAGTGAATGTGCTAGTACTTTTTATGGTGTAGTCAAGAGGATCTGATTGTCCTTTTCTTTTCTTTTCCTTTACTTCTGTTTCTGTTTGTGCCGTGTCAATCTGGTTTTTCAGTGTAAATGAAGCTTTTATCTTTGCTGGCAGTAAACATGGGCTTGATCATCGTGCTCATTCATCATCACTTCGTTGATCCTTGGAGAATACAACCTTCTGGGTTAAAAAACTACCACTTCTCTTACACGACCTTGCAGGATGCTTTTCTTCTCCTCGAACCTATGTCGAAATGTGTGTCATTTTGTAGGAGGTCGTCAAATTTGGTCGTAAAGCTATGCAGGCAGCTGCTACCAAGACCTTGCAAAATAGAAGCAGCATGTGCCTAGAAGAAAATGAAAAACGAAAAGTTTCCCTTATAAGTACAGGACTTAAGATCCGCTGGAGCAAAACATCGGTGGTTTGGTTTTAGAGACTGGATAAATTCTTGCGATACTCTCACAGTTAAGCATTATCCATAAAGGCATCAACCATCTTATAAACATATCTGGTTCCACAAGCACTGGGTTTCTCATGCAAATGCGACAAGGAGCACTCTGATCTCTGAAAAGGCAGAACGTTCAGTGAAATTGTGTTCTTGCGATGTTCCTCTGGCATCTTCTTCAGCTAATAGAAGAGAAGGATAAAACTTGTGGAACAATGTAGCACTAAAAGGTATCACTGATTGCAAGGGAGAAAGCATTCCTAAATCACCCATGCCTGGACCCTACAACATAGAGCAAATACTAAGATGATGCCTTGCCGCTGATCATCCAGACACTTCCTGACATCCTCCTACTCCTCCTTCACATGGCAATCCTGGTCCAAGGATACACGTTAAGGATCAGAATGAAGGTAATTTGCCATAAGAATATTTCATTATTTTTTGCCAGAAGTAACTAGCTTGCAAAATGACCTTCTATTATGGGACGGAGGGGATAGTACACGATAGTCACTAACATGTTATGTGCACTCGGAAACAAAAAAATGAATTTACATCAATACAGGGTTTTTTTCTTTCAAAAAGACAGGCAGCACCAGTTAAATGCCTTCATATCAAACGGACATGTTCCCATTTTATAGCTTGTGTTACAGTGAATCTCAAATTTGATCATATAAGGAGAAATGCCTGACATACAAACACAAATTCCCCAAAGTTAGCTTGGATTAGCCACTTATCGTAGAAAGGGAAAACTTTCATGGTGACATCTCTGACACACATAATGCATAAGCTCAAAGCATACCCAGCCGTGCAAACTTACCAATCCACTTGTCTTCAGCAACAAAATATATGATCCAATAGGCAACATTAAAAAAAACAGGTATTAACAACTTCAGATATAAGTCGCACTAGTTATACCAAACAGATAACTAAGAACATTACACGGATATACCAAACAGTGCAATGAAAGGTGCACGCTGCAAAACTATGTGGCTTCAACCACAGCAATGTGCAGATCATATAAAAGGCAAAAGGCAAACCTTGCAGGACCATCTTTGAGCTTAGGGAATGTGGGAGGCCAAACCATCATAAACGGATAGACATCAGTGAAGTGATCTTGATCCTTCGCAACCAATTTACGGAGTGTCCTGTTCTTGACATCAGATAGAAAACACATCCACACATTTGCAAAACCACAAACTCAGCATTATCCCCAGCATGGCATACATAGCAATGACCAGAATGCTCATCCTCAAGCATGTTATCTAGCATCCTCAGATTAACACACATCTCATGCAGACAAATGGTATCAACCAGCAACCAGTTGTCCCCCTTGTGGAGCCAGATGCAAAGTTTAAAGCCATTGACATGGATGACATATACACCGGAAGGATCATCTGCCCATGACAAGAAGGTGTGAAAACAGTCATACTTCACTCCAGGTGGGTGCTGGATTCTAGACAAACTTGAGGCTGTCAAATCCAAGACAATAATGTCGTCTGCGGGGGAGACCACCATATAGATTTTATTGTCGACAAGCACAACTTTTGCTTTGGGTAGCGGAAGATGGAGCTGGGCCGTGGCCGAGGTATGCAAGCACCAAACACTGCCTTGTAACATATACACGCGTAAAGTGAAATTTTCTGTCTGATTAGTCAACTCCGTCAACACATAAAAGTAGGACAAGCCATTGCCTTCTTCTTTGGAGAGAATAGCATCAAAATATTGGCGATTGTGATCCTGGGCTCTTGGGAGTAGTGGGACGGCGTTAATGCCTCTCTCAGGGCAAAGCGGGCGGTGCACTCCATATGCTAGTTCTCTGCCGCGCACTCCATATGTTGAGCTCCGGGGGCTGGGGCAGCATCGGGACAAAGCACAGGAAGGCTACCAATTCCGGCCGGATCAAGATGCTACCAATGTAGAAGCCAAGTAGGCGGGGCGGGTGGAGCTCACGGAACCGGCGGAGGAAGCCCTGGTTCGAGGCGAGATGGTACCAACACCTGCACACAAGGGCAGCGCGAACGAGGGTGGTGGGGAAGCCGGCGCGGAGGAGGATCTCCGCGATGAGGTTGTTGTCCTCAAGCACCTTGGAGACAGGGTCTACGGTCGCCGGGGAATGTCGGCCTGCCTCGCCATCGAAATCCGCGCGTGGTTTCTTCTCAGGACAGATCCTGGAAAATCGGCAGCACCGAGCAAATGCAAAAATGGCAACTGATTTCTTCAACCAATGTCGTTCAAGGAAATACCATAACCAAACTACTCCAAAT